TATGATTAAATAGTTAATTAGAAGGAAAAAATGAAGAAAAAATTTGAAGTAATAAGATTAATTAATTGATAATAATAAAAGCAAAATTTGAAAATAAAATGATGAGCTAAATTAACAAAGAAAGAAAGAACAAAAAAAGCAAGCACAATAAAAAGAAAAAGAAAAAAGAGGTTTGTTGTTTTAAATTAGTTTTTATAATTAAAATATCACAATCCAAAACAAATAAACTGTTTTTACATAAGGTCGAGTGTCAAATTCGAGAGATTAATGCAATTTGCTAAAGCAGAACCTAAGCCTGATGCACCTTCATCACCAATTTTATTGTAACTTTTTAAATATTGAAGAAAAAATATATGATTAAATAGTTAATTAGAAGGAAAAAATGAAGAAAAAATATGAAATAATAAGATTAATTAATTGATAATAAAAGAAAAATTTGAAAATAAAATGATGAGCTAAATTAACAAAGAAAGAAAGAACAAAAAAAGCAAGCACAATAAAAAGAAAAGAAAAAAGAGCTTTGTTGTTTTAAATTAGTTTTTAAAATTAAAATATCACAATCCAAAACAAATAAACTGTTCTTACCTAAGGTTAAATGTCAAATTTGAGAGATTAATGCAATTTGCTAAAGCAGAACCTAAGCTTGATGCACCCATTGCACTAATTATATTGTAACTTTTTAAATATTGAAGAAAAAATATATGATTAAATAGTTAATTAGAAGGATAAAATGAAGAAAAAATATGAAATAATAAGATTAATTAATTAATAATAAAAGCAAAATTTGAAAATAAAATGATGAGCTAAATTAACAAAGAAAGAAAGAACAAAAAAAGCAAGCACAATAAAAAGAAAAAGAAAAATGAGCTTTGTTGTTTTAAATTAGTTTTTAAAATTAAAAATATCACAATCCAAAACAAATAAACTGTTCTTACCCAAGGTTAAGTGTCAAATTTGAGAGATTAATGCAATTTGCTAAAGCAGAACCTAAGCCTGATGCACCTTCATCACCAAAATTATTCTTACTTTTTAAATATTGAAGAAAAAATATATGATTAAATAGTTAATTAGAAGGAAAAAATGAAGAAAAAATATGAAATAATAAGATTAATTAATAATTGATAAAATGAACAAAGAATTAAAAAATAAGAAATCATAATAAAAAGAAAAAGGAAAACAAATCAAATAAATTAAAAGAACTCTAATGTTTTAAATTAACTTTTATAATTAAAAATATAATAAAGTAAAACAAATAAATAGCTTTTATTAAGTGTAAGTTTTGATAGCAAAAATGAAGAAAAAATATCAAATAATAAAAAATGAATAATAAATAAATAAATAATTAAAAATTGAAATTAAAATTAAGTTAAAATAGCTAAAAAATTTAAGTTTTAATAAAAATCAATAAATAATGATGATAATTTCTTTTATATAAATTTTTTATTTAAATCAATTTAAAATTAAATATACAAAAATATTAATAATAATAAAAATAATATTTTTAAATTAAATATACCTCAGATTAATATGGAGAACCTAATGAGATAAAAGTGAAGAGCTTTTAAACTTTTTTTATTAATTAATATAAATTTAAAATATATTAATAAAAAAATAATAATTACTTTTTCTAAGCTATTGTAATATTTAATCTATTATATCATTTATTTTTTTTTTGAAAAATATTGAATAGCAGTTTATGAAATTTAATTAATTAATTAATAATAAATGGATAAAAAGAACAAATAAATATAATAATTAATTAATTATCAAATATTAATTTATATATTTGGTTTTATGAAGAGATATCACATTCACTATTTAAACTTAATATTTTTATTTAAAACATATACTTAAAAATATAGTAGGAATTAAAGACAGCCAGTTATTTATTTAGTAATATTTGAAAAAAATCTGGTAGTTAATGTTCTTAAGTATTATAAAAATAATGTTTATCAGTAGATTTTTCTGTTTTAGCTCTGTAATTTTAGGAATATTTATAATATTTCTAATTATAGCATTATGCCATACAAAAAAAAATTTGATGGTTTGCCTGACACTTATTATGAAATATATTTTTTATTTATTTATTTATTTATTTATTTATTAAAAAATCTAATTTATATATATTTTTTATAATAGAATTATAATTAATTATTAATTTAATTTATTATAATTTCAAAAATAAGGGGTCTTCTTGTAGGGATGGATCTTATGTTAGGAGGGTATCTTAATATAGAGATACACAATAGATAAAAAGATAAATTTTCATTAAATATTTCAGTGTCTAATTTATGACTATTAAAATTATGGTAAACTAATCTTTGATTACATTTGGTTTTTATACGTCCTTCTAGTTATTCTATTTATAATTGAATATGAATTCTTATTAATACTCATTCATTTAATTAAATTGTAATTATTAATTATTTTAGACACATTTTATTGCTAATTGCATAATAAATTTCTTTTCAAAAAAATTATGAAGATGAGCGAGCATATTTAGTCAGCTTAACCTTCTATTTTTGAATTAATTATAAGTTAGGGTTCTAGTGTATAGAACAGATGTTATCAGTTTTAGTTTTTGTGTTGATTTGATTATAAATCAATCAATTTCTAGTACTAAATCTATTAGATTTATTTAATTATTAATTATTTTTATATTATTACTTTTAAAGATGCCCTATGGAGTTGGAATTGGCTTAGATATCAGCTAAAAGAAATAAATTTAGTGAATAAACTGTTAGAACCTGTTAATATAAATTATCATTTTTAAAGATGAGTGGTGCTTTAAATATTATTTAAATTAGCTATTAATATTAATTCTTAAAATCAACTAAAAATTTCAGTGATCTGTAAGAGGTGATTATGAACTAATTAATTAATTAATTAATAAACTCAAAGAAAAATAAATAATATAAAATTCTATGTTGATTGAAATCTAATTTGAATGTTAAGTCAAATTATTATTTAAAGAAGAAAATTGATCTTATTTAATGTTTAGAACAAATGTTATCAGTTTTAGCTTTTGTATTGATTTGATTATAAATCAATTAATTTCTAGTACTAAATCTATTAGATTTATTTAATTTATCTAATTATTAATTCTTTTTATATTATTACTTTTAAAGATACCCTATTGAGTTAGAATTGGCTTAGATATCAGCTAAAAGAAATAAATTTAGTGAATAAACTTTTAGAACCTGTTAATATAAATTATCACTTATAAAGATGGGTGGTGCTTTAAATATTTGTTAAATTAGTTATTAATATTAATTCATTAAAATCAACTAAAAATTTCAGTGATGTGACAGAGTTGATTATGAATTAATTAATAAACTCAAAGAAAAATAAATAATTTAAAATTCTATGTTGATTGAAATCTAATTTGAGAGTTAAGTCAAATTATTATTTAAGAAGAAAATATTTTAACTTAATGATTCAAGTAGTATATGAATATTTTAAGAAACTATTATAAGATGTATACATTTTATCTATAATAATGTTATATGGCATGTCAGAGCAGATGTATATATAAATATATCCCTATGACATCTTGAATTAAGCTTTAACAATATAAATATACGAGTTAATTTACTGAGTTCAAATAAAAGTATAAAGTAGATTATTTTAAGGGATTAATTTATGGTTCTAGGCAAAATTTTTAGAAAGATAATTTTTAATTGATTCTATTAAAGAATAAGTTTAGCTATAATATGCTAGTATGTCTTCATAAATTTAGAATTTTTTTTTTAGAAATATTAATTGTTGTTTATTTTATTCCTAAAATTTATTTTAAATTGATACAAATTGTTTATAAAATTACCACTAACTAACTACCACTTTGTAGAACTAAAAAATTAAAATTAGAAAGAAATTATGAAAGAAATAAGCTAAAAATATGCAATACAGAGGTCTTTGTATTTAATTAAGATCGCTATTAATTGCTACAATTATTTTCTATCACTATTTAATTTGGTGATCGGTTTTTATTTTTACTGACAAAATTAATTAATTTAGCTTGATTAATATTTAACCTAAATAACTCAAAATTCAAATTAATAAATATATTTGGAGTTTAAGTAAGTAAACACAAATATTTAATTACAAGTGATTTACTTAAATAGTTTTTTTAATTATAATAAAACATCTAGATAGATTTCACTTCTTATTTATTCTTTAAAAAAAGAGTATTTATCTTAAAAAATAAATATAATAATTTATATTAAATAAAAATCAATTAAATTAAAATCATTGAAATGAATAAGAAGTTATCTCTACTCATACTATTTGCTTTTCTTTTAGCAACTACTTTTGCTTAAGATGAAGATTTGCTTGAAAATGAAAAAAAAAATAATACTACTACTGTTGCTGAGGATGATCAATAAGAAGAACAAACAACATCTAATCTTGAAGTTGTTAATCTTAGCCTCCGTAAATTTAAGCAAGAAAATGAAAAAGAAAGAAGATTAGGAGGATATGAAATGGATGAAGAAATGTAAAAGTAGGCTGCTCTAATGGAAGAAAAAATGAAAAAGATGGGAAAGAAAAGACCACTCATAAAAAAAGATGGAGATAAAAAGGTATTTGATTCAGCTGATTATTATAAAGAGAAAGAAGAAGCTGAAAAGAACTGATATACAATCTAACAAATTAATAAACAAACGAAAGAGCTAGATAAATTGTTTTTCTATGCTTACCTATTTATTTAGTTATGAATGAATAAATAAACAATATTTTTAAAAAAATTAAATTTTTTCATATTCAAAAAATCTGAATGTATGCATGTGTGTGTGTGTATGTGTATTGACAGTATATTTTTTTAATTAATTTTAACTAGAAAAATAGAATCCTATTTATTTCATTATTCTGTAATTTTGAATTAACAATTATGCTTAAAGAAACATAATCTGGTCAATCAAAACTTCTAAATTTTTAAGCTTAATGACTATTAAGATAAAATATATTAAAATTCTATTTATTTTTTATTTTGAATCTGAATTTGTAATAATAACAGTGAATTTAATGGTGAAATTTTAATCAGAAAATAAAAATTTTTATTATTTTAATATTATAAAGTAGGTTACATTCTTAATTTTATTTTCAAAACTATTTGCAAGTTTTTATATAAATGTAATTTTATAAATCAAAAAACTATTATAAAAAATAAATAAATCAGGTAATTTAAAATTATAAATTTTATTTTAAAAAAAATAAAAAAAGGCTTGAATGGTTAAATTTAATAATTTTTTATTTATTAAATTAATCTACTTTATAGCTTATTCATGAATTAAATTCTTGCATCTCAGCTTTCACAAGAATTTAATTCATGAAAGTGCTATATAAACAAGCATCACTTTTAAAATATAAAATATAAATTTCTTAAATTATTTTTGTATAATATAATCCTCAAGCATATAAATTTTTGTTTAATTATAATTAATGATTTTATTTATTTACTAAATTATTAACTAACTAACTAACTTATTTACCTACTTACTTTAATTAATTTATAAATTTTCTTTTATTTTAAGCCTCAATAAATAATTATTAAATTCATATGTTAATAGTAAGATCTAAGTACAAATCATATAATATCTAAACAGGATTAATGCTAAAATATCTGCTTAGATATTTTTTATAGGCTGTGATTTATAGTTGAAATTACTCATTTTCTAAAGACATTTATATTAATTTATTTTCTATTCCATTTATTGTAAAGATACTGATTTAATTATATAAAAGCAAGTTTTCAAAAAGTAATTTAAACATTGAAATTAATTCAAAATCATAATCATCGTAAACCTTTATAGTTTTTATTTCATCTAAAATTACCTAACCTTAATATATCTTTTTTTATATAAAATTATAATCAAGGCTTTAGTATAATCGGACTTCTTAGTATGTGAATTTAGAATCACTTATTTTCATTCTATGAAAATTCTTTTATAAAGAAACTATCTCAGCCTTTTAAAAGTAGAAGAGTAGAATCTTTTAAATTAACTAATCTATTTTTAAAAAATATTAGATACCATTAATCTAGTTTACATCTAAATTAATAATTAGAAATTTTAATCTTTTAAATATTTTTTAACTTTCTTTGTACTATTTTGTAAGCAATTTTAATTGTTAAAAACTATTTATTCTTATTATTTTTGGTCCTTTGAAGTAGCTTAGTATCACATAATCAATAAGAGAAACTATCTTCATTATAATTTAAAATATAGACAATGCCAGAATTATTAGCGCTTATATTTAAAAGCACAAACTTTCATCTTTAAATATTCTAAAATGCTAAATGAAAAATTAAACAAAAACATAGACAATCTAAGTAAGCTATAAAAAAACTATAGAATTTCTTTACCATTCTTCTAATTAATCAATAATTTTAGCTTATAAAACACAAGGAATTCTAATATCTACAAAATATCCAAAAAATGCAATTAAATAGAAAATATAAATGTAGCCGTCTTTGTAATTTTTAGAAATAAACTAAGCTGTGAAAGCTAAAAATATAACAGAGAGCCCTAAATTTATGATAACCATGGTAATTAAAGATTTAGAATCATGAATTATATAGATTAGTACTAATCCTTACTATCCTATTTATCCAATAATTTCTAAAAACAATTTTATCCATGCACTTTTTAGAATATGTTTACTTTCAACTATTTTAGGCTAAAATAAAGAAGCCAAAATCATCTAAATTGGGAAAAAGTATGCTAACATAGGTATGATTAATTATTTTGGATCTAATATGAACGCAAGGGTGATAGATCCAGCCATTTCTACAACAAGAAAAACTAATCTTTTCAAATTTATACTGTATTAGATAAAGCATTAAAATCTATTATTCTATTGAATTTAAAGTAAAGGTATCTCTCCTAAGTTAAATAAGCAAAGAATGTAAGCTAAAGACTTACTCTTAAGCTCAATGTTCTTGTAGATGTATAAAAAGCTTAAAAAATTTTAAATCATGATTGCTGTACTGATAACAGACCATATTATCCATTATGTAATTGATTTATCCTATTAATTATTATGAGATAAATTAGAGTAGAAATAAATACATCAAATTTACATCTAAAGCTATGAAATACAAAAGCTAAAACAAAAAGCAAAAATATAAGACTTTATCATAAAGAAAATTAACTGCAAAGAAAGCATCCATTTATATTTACGATACCGCAAGCATGTTTCTTAATTCACTAAATCAATATCTTTATTAAACTTCTATTTTAATTAAAAAAAATTTATGTTTTACTATTTAGTAAGATATTAAGCAATTATAATTTAAAAATCAAAAAAATGTTTATTAAAGTTCATAAATGAAATACAATAAGCTTGTTTTATAACTATATCAATTAATTTTTTTAAAAAAAGAAAAATTTAAATTAGTAAATATATGCATATATGAAAAATAGATTTTACCTTATTGAGTTAAGAATTATCAAATTTTTATTAATTTATTTAATAGTATTGATTAATATTGCCTTTTACTTAACTTAAATTAAAAAAATATTTTACTTAATTTATTGATGAATTTATTATTAATTTTTTATGTATGACTTTAAATAATCTTTTAATTTTTATGTAGAATTTTGTTATCAATCATGTTTCTATAAATTTCTTCATAAAAAATGAACATATTTATTTAATAAAAATAATTATTTTTAATTAACTTACAATATATTTAACCATATTTAATGTAAATTATTTTAATAAAATGTTTTAAAATTAATTATGTTCAATTAAATTTGAAATTATTAATATTTATTAATTTCCATTACTTACTTTTGTTGTCAGCTAGCTATACTTACTATGGTGAAAATAATTAAATTACACTATTTAAAATCTAAATAAAGAAAAATCATTATAATTAATTATTACTTTTTATAATTTTATATTACATTTATAAAGTAAATAAACCCTTATTTATAATGTAATGATGATCTTTAGTTATACAAAATTTATTTTATTTTAGAGAGTTTGCATTCCCACTACCCTTTATATCCAATCTCTATTCTCTACTATAAATTTAATTACACATTTTAAATAAAAATATAAAGATTTAATAATAAATATTACACTAATTTTTGTGATTATTTCTCTTACTAACTAAAAGCAAATTTATTATTTATTATAATTTATTTGTTCTTTTTATCCACCTATAATTAATTAATTAAATTTCCATCAATTTCTATTCTCTATTTTTGAAAGAAAAAAAATGATATAATAGATTAAAAAATACAATAAATTAGAAGAAGTAATTATTTAATTTTTTATTAATATACTTTCAATTTATTTTAACTTATATAAAAAGTTTTTAAACTCTTCACTTTAAACTCATTAGGTTCTCCATATTGATCTGAGGTATATTAATATATAAATATTATTAGCAAACAAAAAATATTTTCTCTTTATTCAACTTTCAGTTTATTTTAAATATTATTTTTCTAATAGAAATTATCACATAAATTCATTCATTTTATTCATAGAATTGTTTTTTTTATTAATTTAACTTAATTTTCACTTTAATTTTTTAAAGTCATTATCCATTTTATATTACTTAGTATTTTTTATTCATTTTTTCATAATAAAGCTTTTACTTGGTAAAACAAGTTTATTTGATTTTGATTGTGATATTTTTATTTAAAAAAATGAATTTAAAACAATAAAACTCTTCTCTTCTTCTATCTTTCTTCATTTAATTCATTTTTTTTTCCTAAAATCTAATAAATATTTTTCTTTAATATTTAAAAAGTGAAAAATAAATTGGTGATTAAGATGTATCAGGCTTATGTTCTGCTTTAGTAAATTGCACTAATCTCACAAATTTGACACTTGGTCTTAGGTAAAAAGAGTTTATTTGTTTGGATTATGATATTTTTACCTATAAAATTTAAAACAATTTAGCTCTTTTAACTTCTTTATTAGCTTTTTATTTGATTTACTTTTCTTTTTATTTTTTATTGTTTTTGTGTTATTTTTTCTTCAATCTTTCTTAATTTAACAAAATTTTTATTCTCCACACTTGATTTTATTTATTATTTATGAATTAATTTCTTCAATATTTAAAAAGTTACAATTAAATTGGTGATTCAGGTATATCAGACTTAGGTACTGCTTTAGCAAATTGTACTAATCTCTCAAATTTGGCACTTTATCTTAAGTAAAAGCAGTTTATTTATTTTTGATTAAAGCATTTTACATTTAAAAATATGAATTTAAAATGTTTTTTCTTCTTCTATCTTTTTTCATTTAACTCATTTTTTATTTTCAATATTTACTTTATTATTTATTAATTTATTTCTTATTACTTCATTATCTATCTTACATTTAACCAACAAATTCATAAAATATTTTTTTGAATATTTAAAAAGTGATAATTAAATTGGTGATTAAGGTACATCAGTCTTAAGTTCTGCTTTAACAAAATGCACTAATCTCTCAAATTTGACACTTGACCTTAGGTAAAAACAGTTTATTTGTTTTGGATTGTGATATTTTTACTTATAAAAGTTAAAACAATTTAGCTCTTTTAACTTGTTTATTAACTTTTTATTTGATTTACTTTTCTTTTACTTTTTTATTGTAAATATGTTGTTTTTTCTCTATCTTTTTTTATTTAACATATTTTTTTATTTTCAATATTTACTTTTATTAATTATTATTTTTTATTAATTCACTTCATTATTCATTTTTCTTCATTTTTCCTTTTAAATAACTTATAAATTATATATTTTTTCTTAAATATTTAAAAAGTTACAATTAAATTGGTGCAGCAGGGGCATCAGGCTTAGGTTCTGCTTTACCAAATTGCATTAATCTCTCAAATTTGGCACTTTATCTTATGTAAAAACAATTTATTTGTTTTGGGTTGTTGTATTTTTACTTAAAAAATGAATTTAAAACAATATAGATAACTTGTTTAACTATTATTAGGATTTAATTGATTTACTTTTTTTTTCTTTTTTATTGTAATTTTGATGTCCTTTCTTCTATCTTCTTTAATTAAACTCATTTTTTTTCTCAATTTTTAGTATTATTATTCATTAATTCATTTCTTATTATTTCATATTTTTTCTTCATTTTTTCCTTGTAAATAACTAATTAAATTTATATTTTTTCTTCAATATTTAAAAAGCTACAATTAAATTGGCGACTAAGGTGCATCAAGCTTAGGTTCTGGTTTAGCAAATTGCGTTAATCTCTCAAATTTGGCACTTTATCTTATGTAAAAACAGTTTATTGTTTTGGATTATGATATTTTTATTTTAAAAAATGAATTTAAAGCAAAATAGCTCTTATAACAGGCTTATTAGCTTTTTATTTGATTTACTTTTCTTTCTATTTTATTATACTTGAATTTTTTTTCTATTCTATATTTCTTAATTTAATTCATTTTTTTATTTTTAATATTTGCTTTTATTATTGATGAATTTATTTCTTATTATTTAATATTTTCTTCATTTTTTCCTTCTAAATAACTAATTAATTATATTTCTTTTTTTGTTCAATTTTTAAAAAGAAACAATAAAATTGGTGGTTCAGGTGTATCAGACTTAGGAACTGCTTTAGCAAATTGTGCTAATCTCTCAAATTTGACACTTGATATTGGGTAAAAACAGTCGATTTATTTTGGACTGTGATATTTATTTTTACTTATTAAAATTAATTTCCAACAATTTAGCTCTTTTAACTTGTTTATTAGCTTTATATTTAATTTACTTAACTTTTTCTATTTTATTGTAATTCTGTTTGTTTTTTTTCTTCTATCTTTCTTAATTTAACTCATTTTTTTATTTTCAACATTTGCTTTTATGATTAATTAATTTCTTATTATTTCACCTTTTTGTAATGTTTCCTTCTAAATAAATTCAATATTTAAAAAGTAAAAATTAAATTGGTTCAGTAGGTGTATCATGCTTAGGTTCTGCTTTATCAAATTGCTCTAATCTCTCAAATTTGACTCTTGATCTTGGGTAAAAAGAGTTTATTTGTTTTGGAATTGTTGTATTTTGACTTAAAAAATTAATTTAAAACATAAGAGCTCCTTTAACTTGTTTATAAGATTTTATTTGATTTACTTTTTTTTATTTTCATTTTTATTGTAATTAATTACATTGTTTTTTCTTCTATATTTCTTAATTTAACTTATTTTTTTATTTTCAATAATTTTTTTTATTATTTATTTATTTATTTATTTATTTATTTATTTTTTCATTCATTTCATATTATTTTATATTTTTTCTTCATTTTTTCTTTCTTAATAGTTAATTGATTTTATATTTTTACTTCAATATTTAAAAAGATACAGTTTTATTGATGATTAAGATGCATCAAACTTAGGTTCTACTTTAGCAAATTGCACTAATCTCTCAAATTTAACACTTAATCTAGCGTAAAAACAGTTTTTTGTTTTGAATTGTGATATTTTTACTTAAAAAAGTGAATTTAAAAAAATATTGCTTTTTTAGCTTGTTTATTTATTAGCTTTTTATTTAATTTACTTCTCTTTTTCTTTTTTATTGTACTTATGATTTTTCTTATTCTCTATTTCTTAATTTAGCTCAATATTTAATTTTATTATTTATTATTTATTTATTTCTTATTATTTCATTTTTTTATTTCGTTTTTACTTCTAAATAACTAATTAATTTTATATTTTTTCTTCAATATTTAAAAGTAACAATTAAATTGGTGATTCAGGTGCATCAGACTTAGGTACTGCATTAGCAAGTTGCATTAATCTCTCAAATTTGACACTTGATCTTAGGTAAAAACAGTTGATTTGTTTTGTTTGGATTGTGGTATTTTTACTAATAAAATTGAATTTAAAGAAAAACAACTCTTTTAACTTGTTTATTAGCTTTTTATTTGATTTACTTTTGTTTTTCTTTTTTATTGTGATTATGCTGTTTTTTCTTCTATTTTTATTAATTTAACCCATTTATTTTCGTTATTTTCAACATTTACTTTTATTATTTATTTATTAATTAATTTCTTATTATTTCATATTTTTTCTTTATTTTTTCCTTCTAAATAACTAATAGTATATATTTTTTCTTAAATATTTAAATAGTGACAATTAAATTGGTGATTAAGGAGAATCAGGTTTAAGTACTGCTTTAGCAAAGTTCACTAATCTCTAAAATTTAACTCTTAACCTTAGGTAAAAATAGTTTATTTGTTATTTAATGTGATATTTTTATTTATAAAAATAAATTTAGCACAACAAATCTTTTTTAATTTGTTTATTAGCTTATTGTTTTATTTATTTTTTTTTTTCTTTTTTACACTGCTAAAGTTTTTTTATTTATTAAGTTTAAATATAATTTTTAATTAAAAATTTTTATTCTTTTTAATTGTTTATAAATATGATAGCTAAATGAATAATGAATCATAATTATTGAAACTAAAAAGCAAGTGTCTTAAATCAAAAAATTTAGTTGTTTGCAAAATAAAATTATAATGGTGATAGACAGACAGTTAAGTGATGAAAAGGGATGAATAAATATTAAATATTGAATAATGTTAAATAATATGATTTATTAGATAATATTTAACCTAAAATATAGATAGATAGATAGATAGATAGATATATTTATTTTATTTTTATATTTATGAATATCATATTTATTTTGGAATAGCTTATAAAATAAATGAAAATTTACAAGTAAAATTTACTTAAATAAATGAATAAATTTCTCTAAAACAAGTCTAAAGCTTTTACCAAAAGCAATCAAAAATTTTAATTTGAAATAATTTGATTTTTTTTTATGTATATAATTCCAACTGTGTTTGTTATTCATCCATAATTTTCTATATTTTTTTAATTTGATTTATTAAATAAAATACATTATCAAATAAATATATATATAATGTTTATCTTTATAAATTTCTTAAAATATATTTTTAAAATATAAGACTCAAGCATATAAATTTTTGTTTAATTAAAATTATTTTAATTATCTATATATGATACTAACCATTTATTTATTTACTAACAAACCTAATTACTTTAATTAATTAAATTAGTAAAGTTTCTTATCTTTAAAGTCTCGAAATTAATTATTAAATTCATATATTAATAGCAAGATCTAAGTACAAATCATATAATATTTAAACAGGATTAATATTAAAATATCTGCTTAGATATTTTTTATAGGCTACGATTTATAGTTGAAATTACTCATTTTCTAAAGATATTTATTGTAATTATTTTTATATTCCTTAAAAAAAGATAATGTTTTAATTATATAAAATCAAATTTTCAAAAAGCAGTTTAAATATTTGAATTAATACAAAATTGTTGTAAAACTAAATAGTTTTTATTTCATCTAATATTTCATATTAACCTATCTTTTTTTATATAAAATCATAATCAAATTATCCTTATAATAGGACCTCTTAGTATGTGAATTTAGAATCACTTATATTCATTCTATGAAAATAATTTTTTAATGATACTATCTCAGCCTTTTAAAAGTAGAAGAGTAGAATTTTTTAAATAAGCTAATCTATTTTTTTAATAGATAAGGATCTAATTAAGTAGTATATATCAAACTGAATAATTAGAAATTTTAATCTTTTAAATCTTTTTTCACTGTTTTTGTACTCTTTTGTAAGTTCTTTCAATTGTTAAAAACTATTTACTCTTATTATTTTTGGTCCTTTGAAGTAGCTTAGTATCACATAATCAATAAGAGAAACTATCTTCATTATAATTTAAAATATAGACAATGCCAAAATTATTAGTGCCTATATAGAAAAGCATATACTTTCGTCTTTAAATATTCTAAAGTGCTAAATGAAAAATTAAACAAATACATACACAATCTATGTAAGCTATAGAAAAACTATTGAGTTTCTTTACCATTCTTCTAAGTGATCAATAATTCGGGCTTACAAGACACAAGGAATCCTAATATCTACAAAATATCCAAAAAATACAATGAAATAGAAAAAATAAATGTAGCAATCTTTGTAATTCTTAGAAATAAACTAAGCTGTAAAAGCTAAAAATATAACAGAGAGCCCTAAATTTATAATAACCATATTAATTAAAGATTAAGAATCATGAATAATATAGATTAGTACTAATCCTTACTGTCCTATTTATCCAACAGTTTCTAAAAACAATTTTATCCATGCACTTTTTAGAATATGTTTATTTTTAAATATTTTAGGCTAAAATAAAGAACCCAAAGTCATCTAAATAGGGTAAAAATATGCTAACAAAGGTATGATTAATTATTTTGGATCTAATAAGAAAGCAAGGGTGATAGATCCAGCCACTTCGACTACATAAAAAACTAATCTTTTTAAATTTAATCTGTATTTCATGAAGCATTCAAACCTATTATGTTTGTGAATTTAAAGTAAAGGTATCTCTCCTAAGTTAAATAAGCATAGAATGTAAGCGAGAGACTTACTCTTTATCTCGATGCTCTTGTAGATGTATAAAAAGTTCAAAAAATTTTCAATCATGATTGCTGTACCAATAACTGACCATATTATCCATTATGTAATTGATTTATCCTATTAATTATTATGATATAAATTAGAGTAGAAATAAATACAACAAATTTACATCGAAAGCTATGAAATACAAAAGCTAAAATAAGAAGCAAAAATATAAGACTTTATCATAAAGAAAATGAACTGCAAAGAAAGCATCCATTTAAATTTACGACGCCGTAAGCATGTCTTTATTCACTAAATCTATCTATATTAAACTTCTATTTTAATTAAAAAAAAATCTTATGTTTTACTAATTAGTAAAATATTAAGGAATTATAATTTACAAATCTAAAAACTGAAAATTAGAGTTAATAAATGAAAAACAGTATGATAATTTCATGTCTATATCAATTAAATTTATTAAAAAAGAATGATTAATTAAATTAGTAAATATGTGCATATATGAAAAATAAATTTTGCCTTATTTAGTTAAGAAATATCAAATTTCTATTAATTTATTTAACAGTAATAATTGATATTTCCTTTTATTTAACTTAAATTAAAAAAATATTTTATATCAATTTGATAAAATATACTTAAATTCCTTACATTTTTTACAAGCCCAGTCATTTAATACTTAAAAAAAATTTTAAATCTTATTCATAAATTAATTAAAAAATTATAAAAACCTAAATCTCCAAAAAAAGAAATCTTGTATTTAGAGGTTTTTAGTACCACAAAATATTAATTTAAAATTTATTTTCCTTAATTCATTCAATATGCATTACTTATTTTACTCTAGGATATAATTTTATTTTTTAATGTATGAAATTCCAACTGTAGGTTATTCATCATTATGAATATTTTTTTAACTTGATTTATTTACATAAAATATATTATTTAATTTATTGTTATCATTATGTTTATAAATTTCTTAAAATACTTGTAAAATATAAGACTCAAATATATAAATTTTTGTTTAATTATAATTATTTTATTTATTATATTTTACTAACATTTTATTTATTCATTGACTTATTTACTTACAAAATTAATTATTAAAATTTCTTTTCTCTAAAGCTTAAAAAAATAATCATTTAATTCATATATTAATAGTAAGGTCTAAGTACAAATCACATAATATCTAAACAGGATTAATGTTAAAATATCTGCTTAGATATTTTTGATAGGCTGTGATTTATAGTTGAAATAACTCATTTTCTAAAGATATTTATTTTAATTTATTTTTTATTCCATTTATTGTAAAGATACTGATTTAATTATGTAAAATCAAGTTTTATAATTGTAGTTTAAATAATATAAATACATAATCGTCATTGCTGTAAAACTTAACAGTTTTTATTTCATCTAAAATTTCATAACCTTAATCTATCTTTTTTTATATAAAAATATAATCAAAATTTTAGAACCATAGGACCTCTTAGTATGTGAATTTAGAATAACTTATATTCATTCTATGCAAATTAGTTTTTAATAATGATACTATCTCAGCCTTTTAAAAGTAGAAGAGCAAAGTCTTTTAAATAAGCTAATCTCTTTTTTAACCAAATTAGATATCATATTTAGAACTTGGATTAAACAGAATAATTAGAAATTTTAATCTTTTAAATCTTATTTAGCTTTTTTTGTACTCTTTTGTTAGCTCTTTCAATTGTTAAAAACTATTTACTCTTATTATTTTTGGTCCCTTAAAGTAGCTTAGTATCACATAATCAATAAGAGAAACTATCTTCATTATAATTTAAAATATAGACAATCCCAAAATTATTAGTGCCTATATAGAAAAGCATATACTTTCGTCTTTAAATATTCTAAAGTGCTAAATGAAAAATTAAACGAATACATACAGAATCTATGTAAGCTATAGAAAAACTATTGAATTTCTTTACCATTCTTCTAAGCGATCAAGAATTCCAACTTAAAAAACAGAAGGAATCCTAATATCTACAAAATATCCAAAAAATGCAATGAAAAAGAAATTATAAATGAAGTCATATTTATAATACTTATAAATGAACTAAGCTGTAATAGCTAAAAATATAACAGAGAGCCCTAAATTTATAATAACCATATTAATTAAAGATTAAGAATCGTGAATTATATAGATTAGTACTAATCCTTAATATCCTATTTAGCCAATAGCTTCTAAAAACAATTTTATCCATGTACTTTTTAATATATGTTTATTTCTAACTATCTTAGGCTCAAATAAAGAAAGCAAACTCATATAGATTGGGTAAAAATATGCTAACAAAGGTATGATTAATTATTTTGGATCTAATAAGAAAGCAAGGGTGATAGATCCAGTCACTTCAACCACAAAAAATACTAATCTTTTTTAATTTTATCTGTATTCCATGTAGAAAAAAAACCTAGTATGCTATTTAATTTAAAGTAAAGGTATTTCTCCTAAGTTAAATAAGCATAGAATGTAAGCTAAAGACTTACTCTCAAGCTCAATTTTCTTCTAGATGTATAAAAAGTTCAAAAAATTTTAAATCATGATAAATTGAAATTATAAATATTTATGAATATCCATTACTTACCTTTGTTGTAAGGTGAAAACAACAGATCCCATTCGAACTCCGAAGTTAAGCACCTTAAGACTGGGTTAGTACTTAGGTAGGGGACCGCTTGGGAAGTCCCAATGCTGATAACCATTTTTTTTAAAAGTAATTTTAATTAATTTAATTATTTATTATATATTAATTTTAAAATTAATAAATTGATTATATATTAAGTTGAAAATAGCTCATAGATCTCATTCAAAATCAGTATTTAAATACCTAAAAGTTTAATAGTATATTTAAACCAATTCATTATTTTAATTTTTTGTAATATTTAATATTATTAAAAATTTTTTATAATTACTACTTAATTTGGTTTTACAAAAATTAAATATATAGCAAAATGCCATTCAAAAATTTCGTCGTTTGGAAACGACTATATAAGTGAATGGCATTTAATTACATACATTCATTTTTAATTAATTAATTGTTTAGCTTAGCTAAGTAGAAATAAAAAAATTCAAAAAAGTAATTAAATCTAATTGAATAAAAATATATAAGACAGAAAAAAAGAGACAACTGCCCCACGGGGCATACATTAAATTTTTTAGATTGAGTCTGGGACGTCAAGACCACATTTTTCTTATTATATCTTAATAAACGTATTATGCTCGATTATATGTATTAAATGAATTTCTAAAATTAAATTATTTTTACTAACTAGTTAAAAATATCAACTTAGTTTTTATAATAATTGTCTGAAATTAAAATTTGGTAAATTTGTTTATCTTGTTCATTTTCATAATTGTGGAATTTCATTTTATTTTGCATTTTCTCCTTTTATTTTTATTACATGTCAATGTGTTAATTGTATGTTTTCATAGCTTCTATTTTATCTTTAAATTACCAATACATTAAATATTTACATTATGAGCAATTTATATTTTATATAATTTGATTTTTTATGTATATAAATTCCAACTGTTGGTTATTAATTATTTTCAATATTTTTTTGATTTGATTAATTTACATAAAATAAATTATCAAAAGTATTATTTAATTTATTTTTATCATTATGTTTTTTTAATTAATTAAAATATATTTATAAAATATAAGACTCAGGTATATAAATTTTTGTTTACTTATAATTATTTTATTTATTTATTAATATATGAAAATAGCATTCTATTTATTCATTGACTAATTTATTTATTTACTATAATTAATTAGAAAAATACTTTTTTGCAAAGCCTATATAAATAATTATTTAATTCATTTATTAATATTAAGGTCTAAGTACAAATCACATAATATCTAAACAGGATTAATGTTAAAATATCTGCTTAGATATTTTTGATAGGCTGTGATTTACAGTTAAAATAACTCATTTTCTAAAGACATTTAATGTAATTTATTTTCTATTCCTTTTTTTGTAAAGATACTGATTTAATTATATAAAATCAAGTTTTCAAAAAGTAGTTTAAATATTGAAATAAATACATAATCGTAATCGTTGTAAAAGTTAAAAGTTTTTATTTCATCTAAAATTTAATAACCTTAACCTATCTTTTTTTATATAAAATCATAATCAAAATTTTAGTACAAACTAACCTCTTACTATGTGAATTTAGAATCACTTATATTTATTCTATGAAAATTCTTATATAATGATATTATCTCAATCTTTTAAAAGTAGAAGAGCAAAATCTTTTAAATTAGCTAATCTCTTTTTTAACTAGATTAGATACCATTTGAGTGGCCTGAATTAAACTGAATAATTAGAAATTTTAATCTTTTAAATCTTTTTTCACTTTTTTTGTACCCTTTTGTAAGCTCTTTCAATTATTAAAAACTATTTACTCTTATTATTTTTGGTCCTTTGAAGTAGCTTAGTATCACATAATCAATAAGAGAAATTATCTTCATTATAATTTAAAATATAGACAATGCCAGAATTATTAGTGCTTATATAGAAAAGCACAAACTTTCATCTTTAAATATTCTAAAGTGCTAAATGAAAAATTAAACAAATACATACACAATTTATGTAAGTTGTAGAAAAACTATTGAATTTCTTTACCATTCTTCTAAGTGATCAATAATTCGGGCTTACAAGACACAAGGAATCCTAATATCTACAAAATATCCAAAAAATGCAATGAAATAGAAAAAATAAATATAGTCATCTTTGTAATACTTAGAAATAAACTAAGATGTAAAAGCTAAAAATAAAACAGAGAGCCCTAAATTTATAATAACCATAGTAATTAAAGATTAAGAATCATGAATTATATAGATTAATACTAATCCTTACTATCCTATTTATCCAATAATTTCTAAAAACAATTTTATCCATGCACTTTTTAGAATATGTTTACTTTCAACTATGTCAGGCTAAAATAAAGAAGCAAAAATCATCTAAATAGGATAAAAATATGCTAGCAAAGGTATGATAAATTACTTTGGATCTAATAAGAAAGCAAGAGTTATCAATCCAGCCGCTTCAACCACAAAAAATACAAATCTTTTTAAATTTAATCTGTATTACATGAAGCATTCAAACCTATTATTCTATTGAATTTAGAGTAAAGGTATCTCTCCTAAGTTAAATAAGCATAGACTGTAAGCTAATAACTTACTCTTAAGCTCAATTTTCTTGTAGATGTATAAAAAGTTCAAACAATTTTCTATCATGATTGTTGTACTTATAACAGACCATATTATCCATTATGTAATTGATTTATTCTCCTAATAATTAATAATTATTATGCAATAAATGAGAGTAGAAATAAATTAAACAAATTTACATTGAAAGCTATGAAATGCAAAAGCTAAAACAAGAAGCAAAAATATAAGACTTTATCATAAATAAAATGAATTGCAAAGAAAGCATCCATTTAAATTTACGAATTCGTAAGCATGTCTTATTCGCTAAATCTATCTTTATTAAACTTCTATTTTGATTAAAAAAAAATCTAATGATTTACTATTTAGTAAAATATTAAGGAATTATAATTTACAATTATAAAAACTGTATATTTGAGTTTATAAATGAAAAAACAATAAGATTTTTTGGCGTCTATATCAATTAAATTTATTAAAAAAGAATGATTTAAATTAGTAAATATATTTATATATGAAAAATAAAAATTTACCTTATAGAGTTAAGAAATATCTAAGTTCTACTAATTTATTTAACATTAATGATTGATATTTCCTTTTATTTAACTTAAATTTTAAAAAAGATTTTACTTATTTTTTTGATTATTAATTTTTTAATTATTTTTTTATTCATGAATTATTTATTTAAAATGTTTTAATGCCATGTTTTAATTAATTTCTTTATTTAAAAATCAATTTATTTCTTTAATAAAATTATTATTTTTATTCCACTTACAATATATTTAAAAATATTTCATGTAAATATTTTAATAAAATATTTTTGAATTGTGTTCAACGATAATTGAAATTATAAATATTTATGAATATCCATTACTTACTTTTGTTGTCGGCCATACTAAGGTGAAAAGAGTGTAATATTATTAAAAAAAAATATACAAAAATTTAAAAATAAATATAATATCTTAAATTACATATTTATATTAAAAAATTATAAAAAAATATTTTATTATTAAAAGCTAAATAAAATTAATATACTTTATTAGCAACAAATCCATGAACTAAACTCTTAATTCTCCACATCCATAAATAAGAATTTAATACATGTAAATTTTATTTGTAAATTTTCATTTATTTAATCAGCTATTTGTTAACTTACTTACTAAAATAAATAGGATTTTCATAAATATATTAACAATAATAAATAAATAAACCAATCTATTTATCTATATTTTATTTAGTTTAAATTATCTTATTACAAAATATTTATAATAAAACATATTATTTTTTATTGTTCAAATATTTTATATTTGTTCATCCTTTTCACCACTTATCTATCTATCACCAATTGAAATCTAGATAAAAGACAACTAATCTTTTTAATTTAAGATACTTGCTATTTACTGTCAATTATTATGATTCATTGATTTAGTTTTCACTTTTATATTATATTAAATTTAAATACTAGAAGAAATTAAATATAATAAAGTTATTTATTTAAAAATAAATTTTAACTTAAAATTAAAATACAGAATAAAATATTAGCAGAATAAAAAACAAAAGAAAAGAAAAATAAATCAAATAAAAAGCAAATTAATAAATTAAAAGAGCTATTTATATTGTTTGCTTTAAATTCATTTTTTTAAAGAAAAAAAAGAGCAATCAAAAACAGATAAACTGTTTTTACTTAAGATTAAGTGTCAAATTTGAGAGTTTTTTGCAATTTGCTAAAGCAGAGCATAAGCCTGATGCACCAGTTGCACCAATTTAATTGTAACTTTTTAAATATTGAAGAAAAAAATATAATTAATTATTTAATAAGAAAAAATGAAGAAATTATATGAAATAAATAAATAATAAAAATGAATTGTTGAAAGAAAAAAAATAAGTTAAATTAAGAAAAATAGATGGAGAAAAAACACAGCTAAAATAAAATAAATAATAAAAAAAGAAAAGTAAATCAAAAAACAGCTAAAAAATAAATTAAAAGAGCTATTGTATTTTAAATTCATTTTATTAAGGAAAATTATCCTAATCAAAAGCAAAAAAACTAATTTTACCCAAGCTAAAGCGCTAAATTTGAAAGATTAGTGCAATTTTTTAAAGCAAAAACTAAATCTGATGCACCTTTTGCACCAATTTAATTAATTCTTTTTAAATATGGAAGAAAAAATTAATAATTAATTAATTAGTTATTTAGAAGGAAAAAATAAAGAAAAAATACGAAATAATAAGAAATTAGTTAACAAATAATAAAAGTAAATATTTAAAATATAAAAATAAATGAGTTAAATCAAAAAAATATATGAAGAAGTAAAATAGCAAAGAAAAAGAAAAGTAATTCAATAAAGAGCTTATAAACAAATTTAAAGTGATCTTTTTTTAAATTTATTTTTATAAGGAAATATATCACAATCCAAAAAAAAAAACAGTTTTTACTCAAGATGAAGTGCCAAATATGAAAGATTATTGCAATTTGCTAAAGCAGAACCTAAGTCTGATGTACCTTAATCACCAATTTAATTATCACTTTTTAAATATTGAATAAAAAAAATATAATTTATTATTTATTTTGATGGAAAAAATGAATAAAAAATATAAAATTAGAAATTAATTAATAAATCATAAAAGCAATTGTTAAAAATAAAAAAATGAGTTAAATAAAGAAAGAGGATAAAATTAAGAAAAAATATGAATTACTAAGAAATCAATAAATAAATAATAAAATCAATTAAGAAAACAAACAAATGAGTTCAATTAAGAAAAATAAATGAAGCAAAATCAGAAATAAAATAAAAAAAGAGAGATAAAAGTAAATCAAATAAACAGCTAATAAATAAATTCAAAGAGATATATTATTTTAAATTTATTTTAATAAGAATAAATATCATGATCAAAAGCAAATAAGCTATTTTTACCGAAGACCAAGTGTCAAATTTGAGAGATTAGTGCAACTTGCTAAAGCAGAACCTAAATATGACGCACCTTTTGCCCCAATTTAATTACTTCTTTTTAAATATTGAAGAAAAAAAAATATAGTTAATTAATTAGTTAATTAGAAGGAAAAAATGAAGAAATAATATGAAATAATAAGAAATCAATTAATAAATAATAAAATCAATTAATTTTTGAAGATAAACAAATGAGTTAAATTATGTAAAATAAATGAAGAAAAAAATACAAATACAATAAAAAAGAAAGAAAAAGAAAAGTATTTCAAATAAGCAACTAATAAACAAATTAAAAGAGTAACATTTTTTAATTTATTTTAATAAGAAGAAATTTCACAATCCAAAGCATAAACTATTTTTACCGAAGATCAAGTGTCAAATTTAAGAGATTAGAGTAATTTACTAAAGCAGAACCTAAATCTGAAGCACCTATTTCACCAATTTAATTAAATCTTTTTAAATATTTAAGAAAAAAATATAATTATTTATTTTGGAGGAAAAAATAAATAAAAATATGAAATAATAAGAAATCAATTAATAAATATTAAATCAATTATTGAAAATAAAAAAATGAGTTAAATTAAATAAGATAAATGATGAAAAAACAGAATTTCAATCAAAAAAAAAATTAAATTAAATCAAAAAAACAGCTAATAGTCATTTTAATCAGAAAAAATATCTCAATCAAATGCAAATAAACTATTTATTTTTACCCAAAATCAAGCTTCAAATTTTAGAGATTATTGCAATTTGCTAAAGCAGAACCCAAGCTTGAAACACCTTAATCCCCAATTTTATTCTCACTTTTTAAATATTGAAGAAAAAATATATCATTAATTAATTAGCTATTTAGAAGAAAGATATGAAGAAAAAATATGAAATAATAAAAGTAATTGTTGAAAATAAACAAATAGGTTAAATTAAGAAAGATAGATAGATAGATGAAGAAAAACGCAAATATATTAAAAAAGAAAAGTAAATCAAATAAAAAGCTAATTAATTTTTTAGGAGAAATTCACAATCCAAAACAAATAAATAAACTGTTTTTACTAAATATCAAGTGTCAATTTTGAGATTTTAGAGCAATTTGCTAAAGCAGAACCTAAACTCTATGCACCTATTGCACCAATTTTATTCTAACTTTTTAAATATTGAAGAAAAATATATCATTATGAAGAAAAAATATGAAATAATAAGAAACAAATGAATAAAATAAATAAATAAATAATAAAAGCAAATTTTGAAATAAACAAATGAGTTAAATTAAGAAAGATAAACGAAGAAAAAACACAAGTACAATAAAAAGGAAATAAAAAAGTAACTAAAAAAACAAATTTAAAGAGTTATGTTGTTTTAAATTAATTTTAATAAGGAAAAATATCGCAATTTAAAACAAATAAAGTATTTTTACCTAAGACTAAGTTTCAAATTTTAGAGATTATTGAAATTTGCTAAAACAGAACCTAAGTCTGATGCACTTTAATCGTCAATTTAATTGTAACTTTTTAAATAATGAAGAAAAAACATAAAATTAAATAGTTATTTAAAAGGAAAAAATGAAGAAAAAATATGTAATAATTAGAAATGAATTAAATAAACAAATGAGTTAAATTAAGAAAGATAAATGAATAAAAATATAAGAATAATAAAAATGAAAAAGAAAAGTAAATCGAAATAAACAGATAATAAACAAATTAAAAGATTTCTATTGTTTTAAATTCACTTTTATAAGGAAGAATATCACAATCCAAAATAAATAATCTGCTTTTACCTAAGATCAAGTGTTAAATTTGAGAGATTATTGTAATTTGCTAAAGCAGAGCCTAAGCCTGATACATGTTATTAGCCAATTTTATTCATACTTTTTAAGTATTGAAGAAAAAATATATATTTAATTAGTTTTTTATATCAATCGAAAACAAATAAAATATTTTTACCTAACAATAAGTGCTAAATCTGAGAGATGTTGGCAATTTGCTAAAACAGAACCTAAGCCTAATGCATGTAAATTGTAAATTTAATTCTAACTTTTTAAATAATGAAAAAAAAAATATAATTAATTAATTAATTAGTTAGTTAGTTAGTTTTTTAGAAGGAAAAAATAAAGAAAAAATATAAAATAATAAGAAATGAATTTATAAATAAATAATAAAAGCAAATGTTTTAAATAAAAAAATAAATTTAATTAAGAATGATAAATAAATGAAGAAAAAACAAACATAAGTACAATAAAAACAACGAAAAAGAAAATTAAATCAAATAAACAAATTAAAAGAGTAATTTTATTTTAAATTCATTTTAATAAAAAAAAATATCACAATCCAGAACAAATAAACTATTTTACTTAAGATTAAGTGTCAAATTTGAGAGATTGGTGCAATTTGCTAAAGCAGAATTTAAGCCTGATACACCTTAATCACCAATTAAATTATCCCTTTTTAAATATTGAAGAAAAAATGTATCATTAATTAGTTATTTTGAAGGAAAAATGAAGAAAAAATAAGAAATTAATTAATAAATAATAAAAGCAAATAAATGCTGAATAATTAACAAATAAGTTAAATTAAGAAAGAAACACGACATCTTAAAGGATTTCTAATGTTTTAAATTCTTTTATTAGGAAAAATATCACAATCCAAAACAAATAAACCGTTTTTACTAAAGATCAAGTGTCAAATTTTAGAGATTATTACAATTTGCTAAAGCAGAACCTAAGCCTGATGCACCCATTGAACTAATTTAATTCTTACTTTTTAAATATTGAAGAAAAAATATAAATCAATTAATTAATCAGAAATATGAAATAATAAGAAATTAGTTAGTTAACAAATAATAAAAGTAAATGTTAAAAATAAAATAAATGAGTTAAATAAAGAATGATAAAATTAAGAAAAAACGCAAGTAAAATAAAAATTAAAAAGAAAAGTAAATAGAATAAACAAATTAAAAGAGTTATATTGTTTGTTATATATATTGTTTTAAATTAATTTTTAAAAAGAAAAATATAGTAATCCAAAACAAATAAACCGTTTTTACTAAAGATCGAGTGTCAAATTTTTGAGATTATTACAATTTGCTAAACCAGAGCCTAAGCCTGATGTACCTTAATCACCAATTTAATTATCACTTTTTAAATTTATAAGAAAAAAAATTAATAATTAGTTAGTTGGAAGGAAAAAAGTGAAGAAAAAATATGTAATAATAAGAAATTAGTTAATGATTAATAAAAGTAAATTTTAAAAATAAACAAAAAAATGAGTTAAATTAAGAAAGATAAGCGAAGAAATAGCACAAGTACAATAAAAAAGAAAAAGAAAAGTAAATCAAATAAACAAATTAAAAGAGTTGTTTTGTTTTAAATTCATTTTTATAAGGAAAAATATCACAATCCAAAATAAATAAATTGATTTTACGAAAGATAAAGTTTCAAATTTGAGAGATTTTTGCAATTTGCTAAAGCAAAACCTAAGCTTTATGCACCTGCTGCGCCAATTTAATTACCACTTTTTAAATATTGAAGAATAAATATAAAATTAATTAGTGATTTAGACGGAAAAAATAAGAAATGAATTTATAAATAAATAATAATAAAAAATGAGTTAAATTAAGAAAGATAAAAGAAAAAAAAAAACACAAGTACAGTAAAAACCAAAAATAAAAGTAAATCAAATAAACAAATGAAAAGAGTTATTTTGTTTTAAACTCATTTTAATCAAAATCCAAAACAAATAAACTGCTTTTACTTAAGATAAAGTGTCAAATTTGAGAGATTAGTGCAATTTACTAAAGCTGTACCTAAGCCTTATGCATCTTAATAACCAATAGAATTCAAACTTTTTAAATATTGAAAAATAAATATAATTAAATAATAAGTTATTTAGAAGGAAAAAATGAATAAAAAATATGTAATAGAAAGAAATTAATTAATAAATAATAAAAGGAAATGTTAAAAATAAACAAATGAATTAAATTAAGAAAGATAAATGAAAAAAAATAATCTAGTACAATAAAAAACTGAAAAAAAATAAACCAAAAAAACTACTATTAAATAAATTAAAAGAGTTAATTATATTTATTGTTTTAAATTCATTTTTATAAAGAAATATATCTCAACCCAAAACTTATAAACAAAACTGTTTTTATTTCAATTAAAGGTATTATAAGTAAAAAAAGAATAAAAAATATACAATATAAAAAACGGGGTAATGAATTTAAAACTTTAAATAGAAAATTAAGCGAGCTAAAAAAACATTGTTTAAATAAAATGAATGAATTTAGGTGATAAGTTCTTTTAGAAAAATAATTTTTAAATAAACTGAAAGGTAAATATTTAAAAAATATTAATAATATTTAAAAATTCATTTTACGTTAGATCAATATCAAGAACCTAATGAGATTAAAGTGAAGAGTTAACAAACTTTTTTTTTAATAAAAATAAATTTAAAGAATTTTGATAAAAAAATAATTAGTTACTTCTTCTAATTTGCTATATTTTTTAATCTATTATATCATTTATTTGTTATTTCAAAAATAAATATTAAAATATTGAATAGATATTTATGCAAATTTAATTAATTATAACTGAATGAAGACAACAAAACAAATAAATTATATTAATTTATAAATTTACCTTTATTTAGTTTGAGAAATCACAAAAAGTTAGTGTAAATAACTAACTAACATACATTGATTATTAAATCTTTATATTTCAATTTCAAAATAGTACTAAAAAATATAATACTAGCTAGATATTAGATATAAATGATAATTACAGACAATGAGTTCACTAAGCTGATAATCTAATTCAATCTCACAAATTTTAAGAAATATTTCCTTGTATTTTGAAGTAACCTAATGAATCAAACTTCCTCCCATCTAATTCTGATTAAATTAGTTGAAATTAATTATAATACAAATTTTAAGAAAGATTTCGTTGTAATTTGAAGTAACCTACATAATGAATCAAACTTCCTTCCATCTAATTCTGATTAAATTAGTTGAAATTAATTAATTATAAAATTAATTAAATTTACTCCTAATTAGATAAAGTAGTTAGGTAACCCCCTAGCCTAATATCTATTAGACTTAATTACCGTAGCAACTTAAAAGTGATTCTCTCTCTTCTGATCAAATCCCAAACTTCCAATCATATAATAAGAAAAAAAAAAATGTTTTAAAAATTTAATTAAAAAAATTAAAAAACAAACTATAAATAAACAATAAATAATTCATAAATTTAAATTAGTCTACAATTTATAATATAAAATAATATACACCTAAATAAAAATACAGAGAATGGCTATAATATTTTTAGTACTTATTTACATTTCTTAAAATGTAGAGTTTTATTTATTGTTCCAATTGTTTGTGCCTAATTTAAATTCAATTTTTTAAATCTATATTTTTTTGGATTTTTACTTCAAAACAGTTAGTACTTACTTAAATTCTTTTTAATTTTTAACATTTTAAATTGAAACTATTTGTATAAAATTGAAATTCTAATTTTTTTACTCAATATTTAATTGTTTCATAAAGAATAAATACGATAATAAATTGGTTTCTCAGACTATTTATATTTTAAATTCAATTAAATATTTTGTATTAATTTGAAATATAAAAGTCTGTATGTCTTTATAAATCTCTCATTTTTAAATAATCAGAAAAATTTTATGTAGCAATTAATTTTATTTTTTCCTTTTTTAAAATGTAAAAAAATTGCATTTCTTTTCAACTTTCTAAAATGAATTAGTTGAGATAAATTTTTTCCTCAAATATATTTCTTACTTATTAGAAAAAATGAAAATATAATTATAAATAGGTATTTATAAACTTAGATATTTACATATTTTTGTAAATTTATTATTTTTTTATGTGCTCATAAAATATTTAATATAACATTTTTTAATAAAATTATCAATTAAAAAAATATCTTTAAAATTAATAGTTAAATTAGGTTTTCATTAAATAAAATTTAATTTCATAAGGAGTTGGCTCGTATTAATTTAACTCTTAGTTTTTTAAAGATTTTAATAAGAAAGACTTAAGCCACTCAAGTTTTCAAAGGTAATTTAAAATTTCTTTAATTATATTGAAAATTTTTATTTGCTTTTCATATTTGACCATCTTTCTTTCATAATAAATTTGTCAAATACTAAAAAAAACTCAAAAGAATTTTATCTAAAAATACATAGCAAATTAATTAAATAAAAAATGAAGATTTTAATTATTCAAAACGTAGTCTAAATAAAAAATCAATTAATAAATTTATTTACTATTACTATTTCTTACTTTAATGATATTTATTAACAAAATAAAAAAGGTTGTCGACACTGGGACTTCCCAAGCGGTCCCCCACCTTAGTACTAACCCAGCCTTAAGGCGCTTAACTTCGGAGTTCGAATGGGATCCGGTGTTTTCACCTTAGTATGGCCGACAACAAAAGTAATATCCATAAATAACTATTTATAACAATAACTTTTAATTTGATTTATCACTTAATCTAAAATTTACTAGAATAAATTAAAATTAGTAATTAAAAATAATACTTTATAAATTTTAAAAAATAATATTAATTAAAATAAAAAAGGTTGTCGACACTGGGACTTCCCAAGCGGTCCCCCACCTTAGTACTAACCCAGCCTTAAGGCGCTTAACTTCGGAGTTCGAATGGGATCCGGTGTTTTCACCTTAGTATGGCCGACAACAAAATTAATATCTATAAATAAATATTTATAACAATAACATTATTCAATTTGTTTTATCACTTAATAATCTACAATTTACTCAAATAAATTAATATTAGTAAAATAATACTTTTTAAATGATTAAAAATTATTTTCAATAAAATAAAAAGGTTGTCGACACTGGGACTTCCCAAGCGGTCCCCCACCTTAGTACTAACCCAGCCTTAAGGCGCTTAACTTCGGAGTTCGAATGGGATCCGGTGTTTTCACCTTAGTATGGCCGACAACAAAAGTAATATCAATAAATATCTATTTATAACAATAGCATTATTCAATTTTTTTTATCACTTAATCATATACAATTTACTCAAATAAATTAATATTAGTAAAACAATACTTTTTAAATGATTAAAAATAATATTAATTAAAATAAAAAAGGTTGTCGACACTGGGACTTCCCAAGCGGTCCCCCACCTTAGTACTAACCCAGCCTTAAGGCGCTTAACTTCGGAGTTCGAATGGGATCCGGTGTTTTCACCTTAGTATGGCCGACAACAAAATTAATATCTATAAATAAATATTTATAACAATAACATTATTCAATTTGTTTTATCACTTAATAATCTACAATTTACTCAAATAAATTAATATTAGTAAAATAATACTTTTTAAATGATTAAAAATTATTTTCAATAAAATAAAAAGGTTGTCGACACTGGGACTTCCCAAGCGGTCCCCCACCTTAGTACTAACCCAGCCTTAAGGCGCTTAACTTCGGAGTTCGAATGGGATCCGGTGTTTTCACCTTAGTATGGCCGACAACAAAAGTAATATCCATAAATAACTATTTATAACAATAACTTTTAATTTGATTTATCACTTAATCTAAAATTTATTAGAATAAAGTAAAATTAGTTATTAAAAACAATACTTTTTAAATGATTAAAAATAATATTAATTAAAATAAAAAAGGTTGTCGACACTGGGACTTCCCAAGCGGTCCCCCACCTTAGTACTAACCCAGCCTTAAGGCGCTTAACTTCGGAGTTCGAATGGGATCCGGTGTTTTCACCTTAGTATGGCCGACAACAAAAGTAATATCAATAAATAACTATTTATAACAATAGCTTTTAATTTGATTTATCACTTAATCTACAATTAACTAGAATAGATTAAAATTAGCAATTAAAAATAATACTTTTGAAATATTTAAAAATAATGTTAATTAAAATAAAAAGGTTGTCGACACTGGGACTTCCCAAGCGGTCCCCCACCTTAGTACTAACCCAGCCTTAAGGCGCTTAACTTCGGAGTTCGAATGGGATCCGGTGTTTTCACCTTAGTATGGCAGACAACAAAAGTAATATCAATAAATAACTATTTATAATTTCACTTTTAGTTGAACATAATTGAAAAATTTTATTAAAATATTTGCATGAGATATTGTGTAAATTAATTAAAAATAATTTTTTTGATCAAAGAAGTCAATAATTTTTAAATATAGAAATAAAGAGAAAAATGAATTAAAAAATTTTTAATAAATTTAAAAAGATGATCTAAAGTTATGAATAAAAAAAGAAATTTCAAATTAAAAATGAAAAAATTAAGTAACATATTTTTTTAATTTAAGTTAAATATAAGTAAACATCAATATTAAATATGTGATAATTTAATACCAATTCGATATCTCTTGATTCTATAATGAGTAAAATTTATATCTTGCAAGAAAAATTTCTTTATTTATAAAGGATATTGTTAATGAAACTAACTTTTTGAATACATTTTGTTCATTCTTTTACAACATAAATTTCAAATTAACCTATAAATTTTTTGAATTATAAAAAATAGATTTTAAGCCGGATCTTTCATAAAAAATAATATATAAATAAATTAAAATAAGAAGTATTTTTCTCTTTAATTGAATTCATTTAAAAAATAAAAAATAAATATTATTAGCTGAATTTCTATCAAGAAAGTATTTATTAAGACAAATTATGAGTTTTATTTATTATCAAATTAAATTAATTGAAAGATTTTGAGAAGACCATATTATTTAAAAATATTTTTTATAACTTAAAACTTAAATTAAATTTTGTTTTTTTTTATAAAAAGTAATTAAAATTTAATTATAAATTTATAACTTAAATAAGAAATAATTAAAATTTTGTAAGAAAAATATTTAATAGTGTATATTTTAAATGCAAGTTAGGAAATAAATCTATGAGGACTTAGAGTTTATCTTGAATTACTTTTGAAAAAAATACATAAATCCTTCTATTAGCAAAAGTATTTCATAACCAAAAGAAAAATATTCTTAGAACTATTAAAATATTTCAAATTTATTGTCCATTATTTTTATAATAAATGCTGAATTTTTTTCTAATTGCTATTAAAAAATTTTTTTACTAATCTATTCATCTATTTTGTTTGATGTTTTACAATAAAGAAAAGACTTTCATCAAATATTTATTTTATTAACTAGATTTAAATGCAATTATTCAAAAAATCTATTAATTAATTTAATTTGCCATTCCTTTTATGACAAAAGTTATCAAATCTACTTTTATTTTGACTACTTTTAATAATTTTTAATAAATATTATTGTTTGAGATATTTTTATGTAGATAAGTTTAAATATTAATTTTTAAAAGCCAAATATATATTTTAAAATGATGCGATTTTAATATATTAGATAGAGAAAATATTCATTCAATCTAAACATAAAATTACCTATATTCAAACATACTATGTTAATAAAGAGAGCCTTTCTTTATTATTATAAAAATATTTTTTAAGAATTGAATTATTTAGCTTATTTTTGTAGGATAGTTTAAACGTTATTAGCAGTAGTAAATTACATAATAAGAATTTAAAAGCTTTACTCCACTATTTCTCCATAATAAAACCAATAAAAATAACAAAAAAATGAATAAAAATATTGTGATAAAAGATAAAATAAAATAATTTTTGTTGAAATATATTTTTAAAGTAGATATTTTGGATAAAATTATTTGAAGGTTAGACATTTTTTGACATTTTCCTTGATTAAAAAAGTATTTGATAAATTAAATTGAAAGCTAATTTAGCTAATACCAACAATTATATTATTATTATTATTACTATTACTTAAACAAACTCCATTAATTTTCCATAGAAAAAATGTCAAATATTTATAAACAGCTTGATAGAATAGATTTTAAAACTGATTCAGGAATTTATTTTGAGTATTTCAGCTATATTTATTCCTTTTTTGTTATTACAATTACTTTTTTAAAAAATGTGATTATCCTTTTTGTTAATACAAAAAGATCTATTTGTTGATTATTCTTTTAAAAAAATTGTACTAGGTATTTATCTGTCTTATATATATTTTTATGGCTTGTTAAAAAATGCTAATGTTTTTGTTCCCCCTTATTTATAAAAAAAAAACTATTATAAAATTGCTTTTCATGATTTTACAATTAATGATCTATCTTTATTTATTTATATTATTTTTAGATTCTGGATTCATAAATTTTCTCTATTTTCTACTATTGTGAATCGAATTCAACTAAATTATTAGTGCAACTTATGACTAAATTTAATAGTAATTCGGCTATAATATGATTTTATTATTACATAAAAATCTATTTCATATGTTACCAATAAAAATTTTCTGAAATTATACTGTTTTTTCTAAAAATTTAAAGCAATAAATATTTTTTATATTACAACTTGAAGAATATACTATACACTATTCAGACAGAAGCTAGCCTAATGTCCGATATTCATCTTAAACTTTAAAATACGATTTATAATTAATAATATTTCAAAACATAAAATTTCAAAAATAAATTTAAATTTTATTTCCATAATAGTAAGTAAATCAACTTCACATTAATATTGTTTATTTTCAAAATTTTATAATCAATTATATTCAATATATTTTATTGCAAGAAACAGCTTTTAGATAAAAAAACATTTTAATTTTCAACCAAATTTCAATAATGATCTAATGTTTGACAAAATAATATTAAGCTTTTGCTAAAAAAAAAGCCTCTTAGATTTAGAAAATAAGCCATTCTACTTTTATAGAATTCCATTTTTAGCCATGATGTAATAATTAATTAATTTATTTAAAAATTGATCTAATTTATTGGTATTTTTATTATATAATTAAAAAATCAAATATGGAATATGATTTTTTCTTTTAAATTCTCCACCAATTCTCCATGGTATGTCACTATCAAAATTCATTTTTTGTGATAATTTATCAGATTTTACATAATAATGTAGCTTATTTTTATGAACCTGAGAGTGAATTTTAGGTTTTTTAAGGCAAATAAAATAGACTTGTCCTCCATTAAAAAAGTCTAATAATAAACTTTAATTATAAAACACCAGGTACAAAGTTGTTAAAATAACGCCAAAATTATCAATAAACATATCTAAATAATATATGGAATAGCATTGAAATGGTTAAGCTGTTTTTCATAAAAGGTTTTATTTATATATCTATTTGAGGAAATAGTATTATATTTAAATAAGTCTTTAATTGCAATTAAATTAATTAAGTGGCTATTAAATTACTAAATGAAATAAAATTAAAATTAAAGAAATAGACTTTTTCATCTAATTAAGTATCAAAATCTTCTATTTCTTAAATTCTGGGTAAACAAAAGCTAATAAAGTATACATTTGTGTAAAAAAAAAGCTTTATAAATGATATTTGGTAAATCCGTTTATAATTTTTAAATAACAAAAAAATTCTTAAAAAAAAACAGATTAAAAAATAATTTTGAAATCTTACAGAATTGAATAGATAAAATGAGTCAAACTAATGTTGTTCGACAGTCTGCGTCTGGTGTCGTCAGAAAATTTGAAGAAATGAGGTAGTCCATTTAACTTAAAAATTCTATTCAAGAAATTAGATAAAGTTAAGAATTCTAAAAGTCAAGACCTGATTTGGAAGAAGGAAACAAGCGTTAACACATTAACTGTGAATTTTAAGAAACAACAATTAAAACAGAAGGCTTTATGATTTCTAACACTCAAACTGCTGATGTAGCTAAAAATAATGTTAACAAAAAGTTAAATAAGGATCAAAAATAAAAGCAAGACATTGTTGAAAAAGTAGACCACAAAATTTCTTTGGAGGAACTGAAATAAAAGTATTAAACTGATTTCCAGAATGGTTTAACTGAACAACAAGCTTAGGAATTACTAAAAAAGTATGGCGAGAATAAGCTTACTGTTAAGTAAGGAACTCCATTATGGGTAAAACTCTTGAAAGAAATGACTAATGGCTTTTCACTTATGCTTTGGGTTAGTGCTATTCTATGTTTCATTGCTTAAGGATTGCAGCCAAATCCCTCTAACATTTACCTTGCAGTAGTCCTCATTATTGTCATTTTAATTACCACTGCAATTACTTTCTAATAAAATGCCAAGAGTGAAGCATTGATGAATTCTTTTAAAAATTTTATCCCTGCAAAGACAATAGTTATTAGAGGAGGTGAAATAAAGCAAATAGAAGCTGTACATCTTGTTGTCGGTGATGTAGTTGTCATAAGAATAGGTGAAAAAATCCCCGCTGATATACGTATCTTAGAATCAAATGAAATGAAAGTAGATAATTCCCCTTTGACTGGTGAAAGTGAACCTCTATTGCGTACTACTGAATGCTCTCATCCTGAAAGTTATATTGAGACATCTAATATAGCCTTCTTCGGTACTCTATGTAAAGAGGGTAACGGAAAGGGAATTGTTATCTGTACTGGTGATAATACTATGCTTGGTTAGATTGCTGATTTGTCTTCTGGTGAAAAGAAAGTCAAAACTCCTCTCCGTATTGAGCTTGATCGTTTTGTAGTTCTTATTACAGTTATTGCAATAGTGCTTGGCGTCGCCTTTTTCTTACTTGCATTACTTTATATGAATTATAAAGTTACTGATTGCCTTGTCTTTGGTATTGGTATTCTAGTAGCTAATGTTCCTGAAGGTTTACTTGGTTGCATCACTATTTCGCTTGCCATTACTGCAAAGAATCTCTCAGCTAAAAATGTCCTCGTAAAAAACCTCGAAGCCGTAGAAACTCTTGGTTCCACTTCTTGTATTTGCTCTGATAAAACTGGTACTTTAACTTAAAATGTTATGTCGGTCAAAAATTTGTGGTATTCAGATTAGATCCATCTATCCAAGAACAAGGCTCATCTTAAGCAAGGAGAAATCCCTGAATATAATACTGAAGATCCTGACTTTAAAACTCTTTAGAAGGCTGCCATGCTCAGTAGTGAAGCCCGTTTTGATACTTCTACTATTAAAGAAAAAGAGAATATCGACTACTTGACCTGTCCAGTATTAGGAGATGCAACAGAAACTGGTATTATCAGATTCTATCAATACATTGAAGATGTAAATTCCTTCCGTGAAAGATATAGAGTAGCTAAAAATCCTGATGGTACTTAAGGTAAAATGCCTTTCAACTCATAGGTAAAGTTTGCTTTGACAATAATTGAAGAGTAAACATAAGAAAGTTACTATACAGTTTACATCAAGGGAGCTCCAGAAAAGATTTGGAGTTTCTGCTCATCCATTATAGTTAATGGTTAGCCTTCCTAACTTAATGATAACTGGTAAAAGAAATTCAAAGCTGTAAATCTCACTTTTGGTAAAGGTGGTGAAAGAGTACTTGGTTTTGCTAAGTTGAGTTTACCTGCTGCTTAATTCCCTCAAGGATTTATTTTTAATGTGTCTTCTATCTAAAAGTTCCCCTTTAAACTTACAAATTTCTAGTTTTGTGGTCTTATTTCTTTGATGGACCCCCCTAAATAGAGAGTCCCCTACGCTATTTTAGAATGTAGATCTGCAGGTGTTAAGGTTATTATGGTAACTGGTGATTAACCTCCTACTGCTGCTGCTATTGCCAAAGAAGTCAATATTATTCCCAAAGATATCCTAACCAATGAAGATCTTATGGAAAGAAATCCTAGTCTCAGCTGGTGGGAAGCAAGCGAATAATGCAGAGCTATTATTGTCCATGGAGATAGAATTACTGAGTCTATTGACAAAGCTCTAAGTGAAAAAAAGGAAGATTGCTTTTATTTACGTTAATGGGTAGTTAAACCTTATTGTGTTTTTGCTAGAACAACCCCAGCTCAAAAATTATAAATTGTTGATGCATGCCAAAAGGAAGGATTCATCGTTGCTGCTACTGGTGATGGTGTAAATGACTCTCCAGCCATCAAGAAAGCAGATATTGGTATTTCTATGAATATTTCTGGTTCCGATGTTACAAAGGATGCTGCAGACATGGTCTTAGTTGATGATGATTTTGCATCAATAGTTTTGGGTGTAGAAGAAGGTAGAAAAATTTTTGATAACTTAAAGAAGACAATTGTATATCTTCTAACTTCCAACATGACTGAAATTATTCCCTTCTTAGCTTTCATTATCCTCTAAATTCCCTTACCTCTTTCCAGTATTTATATGCTTGTCATTTGTGTTGGTACTGATGTTTGGCCAGCTATTTCACTTGCTTATGAAGAAGCAGAACTCGATGTAATGACGAGAAGACCTCGTAATAAATCTGAACATTTGGTCTCAAATAAGCTAATTACAATAGCTTATCTCTAAACAGGTTAGATTGCTAGTGGAGCTGGTCATCTTGGTTATTATATTGCATTCAACTATTTTGGTTTCCCAGTACTTTCTTTATTCGGTCTTGCCTCTGCAACAGGATACAGACCTGTACAAAATGATTTTGGAACTTATTATAATCCTCAGTTGTAAAGAGACGATCCATACTACAACTCAGCTATCTATAATATTACAAAATTCTAAGATTGTAACAAACTCTCAACTGACCAAAATAACGCTCTTTCAAATCTTTAATATTCTTTGGATTGGTTCACACTTTCTGAAGGTAATTATGATCTAAGAAAATCTTTGGTTAAGTGCGATCCTGTTACTGGTGCCTTTATACCTTGGATTAAATGGAGTGATTGTGATATTAACAAATCATAAAATTGGTCAGTTTTAACATCTTAAACTGCTTGCTATTCAGTAGAAGCTATCAACTATGCCTAAAGTGTTTATTTCCTAACAGTTGTCTTACTTTAGTGGACAAATGTATTTGCTTGCAAGAGTAGATCTATGAGTTTTACAACAACTGCTTTTAATTCAGTCATGATATAAGGTGTTATTTTCGAAACAATTTTAGTTATTTTCTTGCAATATGTACCTGGAGTCCAAACTGTATTTGGTGGTAGACCTATGTTCTTCTGGTTATGGACAAGTTGTCTAGCCTATACAATGTTACTACTTATATATGATGAACTAAGAAAATTCTGCTGTAGAAAAAGCAGATGGTTCTATAAATATTGCTATTGGTGAACATTTTTTTTCTAATTATAATAAAAATTATAAAGTTATTTGACTTGTAATAAATAAAACATTAATATAATTATTTTACTTTTCTCTATGAGTATTTTATTTCTTAAAATTTATAATCAATTCTTTAACTTTTCATTAATTTATTTTAGAATTATTTTTTTTAATTTATTTAAGTATTTTTCTTTCAATTAAAATTTTTGATTTCGAAGATTGAAATATGAATTACTTACTTATTATTAATCTATACTATTCTTATTTTCAATAAACAGTTATCCTTAATAGGTTTTACAAAATAAGCATAAGAATATATTATGAAATGTATGGATAAAAAAAAAAGATTTTTTATGAATTAATATTTAATTAATTAAAATGATCTTGATTTTTATAAAAAATTTTTACATACTTTTGTATTATTTTTATTTAAAAATTTAAAAAACATAATAGTAATTATATGAGGCTGTTTGGATGCTTTTTTATTGATTTTTAATTTAGGGAACAATTTTTGTGAAAAATATGATAAGAATATACAAAGCTATGCTTAAGAAAAACAAAAAAATAATGATTAAAATTATTTATTAATTTTATTTTATTTTAATTAATAAAATAAAAAATTGTAATTTTGAAATTATTTTTAAATCAATTTATTTTAAAATATCAATTTTTGATAAAAATAAAATACAAATGAAATAGAGAATATGAAAGCAATTCACTTGCTAATCTATAAATTTAATGAGGAATTACTTTTTATATAATTTGATTTTTTTCGCTGTATGTTATTCCAACTGTTGGTTGGTTATTCATAATTATAAATATTTTTTTAATTTGATTTATTTACATAAAATAAATTATCAAATATATTATTTAATTTATTCTTAACATTATTTTTTATACATTTCTTAAAATATTTTTGTAAAATATATATAAATTTATTTTTAATAAAAATTATTTTATTTATTAATACATGATACTAACATTTTATTTATTTACAGGCTAACTAACTTACTTACTTACTTTAATTAATTAGTAAAGTTTCTTTTCTGCAAAGCCTATATAAATAATTATTTAATTCATTTATTAATAGGAAGATCTAAGTATAAATCATATAATATCTAAACAGGATTAATGTTAAAATATCTGCTTAGATATTTTTGATAAGCTGTAATTTATAATTGAAATAACTCATTTTCTAAAGACATTTATTGTAATTTATTTTTTATTCCTTTTATTGTAAAGATACTGATTTAATTTTATAAAATCAAGGTTTCAAAAAACATTTTAAATATTTAAATTTAAATAAATTTGTTGTAAAACTTAACAGTTTTTATTTCATCTAAAATTTCATAACCTTATCTTATCTTTTTTTTTATAAAATTATAATCAAAATTTTAGTATAAACTGACCTCTTACTATTTGAATTTAGAATCACTTATATTTATTCTATGAAAATACTTTTATAATGTTATTATCTCAGTCTTTTAAAAGTAGAAGAGCAAAGTCTTTTAAATTAGCTTATGTCTTTTTTAACGAGATTAGATACCATTTGAGTGGTGTACATCAAACTGAATAATTAGAAATTTTAATCTTTTAAATTTTTTTTCACTATTTTTGTACTCTTTTGTAAGCTCTTTCAATTGTTAAAAACTATTTACTCTTATTATTTTTGGTCCTTTGAGATAACTTAGAATCACATAATCAGTAAGAGAAACTATCTTCATTATAATTTAAAATATAGACAATGCCAAAATTATTAGCGCCTATATAGAAAAGCATAAACTTTCATCTTTAAATATACTAAAATGCTAAATGAAAAATTAAACGAATACATAGACAATCTAAGTAAGCTATAGAAAAACTATTGAATTTCTTTACCATTCTTCTAAGTGATCAATAATTCCAGCTTAAAAAACAAAAGGAATCCTAATATCAACAAAATATCCAAAAAATACAATGAAATAGAAAAAATAAATAAAGTCATCTTTGTAATGCTTAGAAATAAACTAAGCTGTAAAAGCTAAAAATATAACAGAGAGCCCTAAATTTATAATAACCATAGTAATTAAAGATTAAGAATCGTGAATTATATAGATTAGTACTAATCCTTAATATCCTATTTAACCAATAGCTTCTAAAAAAAATTTTATCCATGTACTTTTTAGAATATGTTTATTTCTAACTATTTTAGGTTCAAATAAAGAAAGCAAAATTATATAGATTGGGTAAAAATATGCTAACAAAGGTATGATTAATTATTTTGGATCTAATAAGAAAGCAAGGATGATAGATCCAGCCACTTCTACCACAAAAAAAACTAATCTTTTAAAATTTAATCTGTATTATTTGAAGCATTAAAACCTATTATTTTTATGAATTTAAAGTAAAGGTATCTCTCCTAAGTTAAATAAGCATAGAATGTAAGCTAGAGACTTACTCTTTATCTCGATGTTCTTGTAGATGTATAAAAAATTCAAAAAATTTTCAATATTAATTGCTATACCTATAACAGACCATATTATCGATTATGTAATTGATTTATCCTATTAATTATTATGAGATAAATAGAGTAGAAATAAATGCAAAGTATTTACATCGAAAGCTATGAAATACAAAAGCTAAAACAATAAGCAAAAATATAAGACTTTATCATAAATAAAATGAATTGCTAAGAAAGAATCCATTTAAATTTATTATTCCGCAAACATGTCTTCTTTATTTACTAAATCTATCTTTATTAATTAAACTTCTATTTTGATTAAAAAAAAATCTTATGTTTTACTATTTCTTAAAAATTAAGAAATTATAATTTAAAAATCAAAAAACTAAATATTAAAGTTTTTAAATGAAATGCAATAAGTAAATTTCATGTCTCTTTTAATTTATTAAAAAAGAATGACTTAAATGAACAAATATATTATTAAAAATCAATTTTAAAAAATATAAAATTTATATTAATTTATTTAACAATTATTGATATTTCCTTAAGTTAAATTAAAAAAATATTTTACTTAATTTTTTCATTATCATATTTCAATAAATTTATTTATTTAAAAATCAATTTATTTACTTCTTTAATAAGGATAATTATTTTAAATTAATTTACAATATATTTAACAATATTTCATGTAAATATTTAAGCAAAATGTTTTTCAATTATGTTCAACAAAAATTGAAATTGTAAAAACTGTAAAATCCCAAAACTTTGCCCCTCGCTTTTAGCCAAAATCGAAGAGCGAGGAGTAAAAAATATATAGGTGCCTTTTTTTTCTACCTATTGGCCCTAAAATGCTCTGATTGTAAATTATCTTTTATAGAGTATATTATTGATAAAAAAAATTCTTTGAATATATTTTGTTCATTATTTTTACAACATAAATATAAATTTAACATAATAATTTTTTGAATTATAAAAAATAGATTTTAAGCTTTTTCTCTTTGAAAAGTAACAAAAAAATAAATTAAAAGAATAAGTATATTTTTTAATTTTTATTGAATTCAAATTAAACTAAAAAATAAATATTATCAACTGAATTTCTATCGAGGAAGTATTTATTATTTAAAGACTATTAAATTTTTATAATGAATATTTCATAGAATGTACTAAGACAAAAAAAACAATAAATACTATATTATGAGTTGTATTTATCATTAAATTAAATTAATTTAAATATTTTGAGAAGGCAGGCCCTATTATTTAAAAATATTTTTTATAGCTAAAAATTAAAATTTAGTATTTCTTTAAAGAAAGCATTTAAAATTTAATTATAAATTTTTTATTTAATTAAGAGCAAATTTAAATTTTCAAAGAAAAAATTTAATGTGTTTTTCTTAAATTTAAGTTATGAAATAAATTTATGAGAACTAAGAATTTATCAAGAAAAATTACTTTTATAAATAATACTTAAATCCTCCTATTAGCAAAAGTATCTCATAACCAAAAGAATAATATCATAGAACTATTAAATTTTTAGAAATTACTGTCCAATAATTAATATAATAAATGCTTTTTTCCTTTTTTTCGAATAATTATATGTATAAATTTAACTGGTATTTTACAAAAAAGAAAAGATTTTAGCCAAATATTCATTTTTATAATAGGATTTAAATGTAAGTATAATAAATATCAAAAAGTTAATTTAATTTTTCATTCATTTTATGACAAAAACTAGGAAATCTACTTTAATTTTACTATTTTTAATAATTTTAAATCAAAATTATTGATAAATATATTTTTAGGCAGATAAGTATAATTACTAATTTAATGTAAGAGAGAGAAACTTTACATTCAAGCTAAGACATACAATAATCTATATTCAAACATACTAAATTTATAAAAAGAACCTTTCATTATTATTACAAAAATATTTTTAAAGAATATATAATAAAATTATTTAGCTATCTATATTTGTAGGATAGTTTAAAAATTACTATCCATAAATGGCATCATAAGAATTTTATAGCTTTACTTCACAATTTCTCCGAAGTAAAACAAACCAAAAAACAAAAAAATGAACGAAAATATTGTTATAGGAGATACAATAAAATAATTTTTGTTGAAATCTGTAAAAAAAGTAGATATTTTGAAGTAAAATTATTTGAAAGTTAGACATTTTTTGACATTTTCTTTGGTTATAAAAGTATTTGATAAATTAAATTGATATCTATTTTTAGTTAAATACCTACACTTTTTTTATTATTATTATTGCTTAAACAAACTCCATTAATTTTCCAAAGGAAAAATACAATATATCTATAATCAGCTAGATAGAATAGATATTAAAATTAATTCAGTAATTTATTTTGAGTGTTTTAGCTTTATTTATTGTATTTTTGTATATAATATTACTATTTTTTAAAGCTATTGCCCTCTTTTGTTAATAATAATATTTCTATTTGTTTCTTTTAAAAAAATGTACAAGTAAGGTAACTTTCTTATATTAAATGGCTGGTTAGAATGATCTTATGTCTTTTCCCCATTATATATAAAATCTAAAAAATATTAACAAATTTCTTTTGATGATATCAAAATAATGATCAATTTTTATTTCTATTACATTTACTTAATTAGATTTGTAATTTTCAGTATTTTCTACTATTTTGAATCGAATTCAACTAATTTCTTTTTGCAATTTATGACTAAATTTTATAATAACTATGCTATAATATGATTTTATTTATACATATAAACTATTTCAAAAATAATATAAATGTTTTCTGAAATTATAGTACTTTTTTCTAAAAATTTATAGTAATGATTATTTTTCATATGCCAATTTGAAGAATATACAAAAAGCTATTCAGCTAGAATCTGTCTAATACTTGATATTTATCTTAATTTTTAAAATATGATTTATTTTTATATTTCAATATAAGAAATTCTAAAAATAAATTTAAATTTTCTTTTCATAATAGTAAGTAAATCAACTTCACATTAATATTTTTAATTTCAAAATTTTATTACAAAAATTAGCCTGAATTTTTAAACATTTTAATTTTCAACCAAATTTCCATAAAAATCTAATATTTAACAAAATAGTATTAAGTTTTTGATAAAAAATTATCTTTAATTTAGAAAATAAAGTATTCTACTTTTTTGGAATTTCATTTTTTTATGATGTAATTATTAATTGATTTAGCTTAAAAATAGATCTAATCTAGTTGATATTTATTAAAAATTAAGAGTCAAATATGGAATATGATTTTTTTCTTCTAAATTCTCCACCAATTCTCCATGGTATGTCACTATCAAAATCCATTTTTTGTGATAATTTATATGATTTTACAAAATTTTATTGCTTATTTAATTCAACCAGAAAGTGAATTTTAGGTTTTTGAAGGTAGGTAAAATAGACTTGCCATCCATTAAAAAAATTCTAATAATATTCTTCAATGATAAAACACCAAGTAAAAATTTGTTGAAACAATGATAAAACAATCTATTTTTTTATCTAAATAAAACATCGAATATCGCTAAACTGGTAGAGCTGTTTTTCAGAAAAGGTTTTATTTGTAAAGCTATTTCAGGAAATAGTATTAGATTTAAATAAGTCTTTAATTGCAATTTAATTAATTAAGTGGCTATTAAATTATTAAATGAGATAAAATTAAAATTTAAGAAATAGACTTTTTCTACTAATTAAGTATCTAAATCTTCTATTTCTTAAATTCTGGGTAAAAAATAGGTAATTAAGTATACACCTGTGTAAAAAAAAGCTTTATAAGTCTATTTGATAAATTTGTTTATAATTTTTAAATATCAAATAAAATTTTTAAAAAAAACGGATTAAAAAATAATTTTGAAATCTTAAAGAATTTGATATTTTAAATCCTTCACATAAAATGAGTTAAATGAATGTTGTTCGACAGTCCTCATCTGGCGTCGTAAGAAAATTTGAAGAAATGAGGTAGTCCATCTAACTTAAAAATTCCATTCAAGAAATTAGATAAAGTTAGGAATTCTAAAAGCCAAGAACTGAGTTGGAAGACGGAAACAAGCATTAGCACATTAACTGTGAAATTTAAGAAACAACAATTAAAACAGAAGGTTTTATGATTTCTAACACTCAAGCTGCTGATGTAGCTAAAAATACTGTTAACAAAAAATTAAATAAGGATGAAAAATAAAAACAAGATATTGTTGAAAAAGTAGACCACAAAATTTCTTTGGAGGAACTGAAATAAAAGTATCAAACTGATTTCCAGAATGGTTTAACTGAACAAAAAGCTTAGGAATTACTAAAAAAGTATGGCGAGAATAAGCTTACTGTTAAGTAAGGAACTCCATTATGGGTAAAACTCTTGAAAGAAATGACTAATGGCTTTTCACTCATGCTTTGGGTTAGTGCTATTCTATGTTTCATTGCTTAAGGATTGCAGCCAAATCCCTCTAACATTTACCTTGCAGTAGTCCTCATTATTGTCATTTTAATTACCACTGCAATTACTTTCTAATAAAATGCAAAGAGTGAAGCATTGATGAATTCTTTTAAAAATTTTATCCCTGCAAAGACAATAGTTATTAGAGGAGGTGAAATAAAGCAAATAGAAGCTGTACATCTTGTTGTCGGTGATGTAGTTGTCATAAGAATAGGTGAAAAAATCCCCGCTGATATACGTATCTTAGAATCAAATGAAATGAAAGTAGATAATTCCCCTTTGACTGGTGAAAGTGAACCTCTATTGCGTACTACTGAATGCTCTCATCCTGAAAGTTATATTGAGACATCTAATATAGCCTTCTTCGGTACTCTATGTAAAGAGGGTAACGGAAAGGGAATTGTTATCTGTACTGGTGATAATACTATGCTTGGTTAGATTGCTGATTTGTCTTCTGGTGAAAAGAAAGTCAAAACTCCTCTCCGTATTGAGCTTGATCGTTTTGTAGTTCTTATTACAGTTATTGCAATAGTGCTTGGCGTCGCCTTTTTCTTACTTGCATTACTTTATATGAATTATAAAGTTACTGATTGCCTTGTCTTTGGTATTGGTATTCTAGTAGCTAATGTTCCTGAAGGTTTACTTGGTTGCATCACTATTTCGCTTGCCATTACTGCAAAGAATCTCTCAGCTAAAAATGTCCTCGTAAAAAACCTCGAAGCCGTAGAAACTCTTGGTTCCACTTCTTGTATTTGCTCTGATAAAACTGGTACTTTAACTTAAAATGTTATGTCGGTCAAAAATTTGTGGTATTCAGATTAGATCCATCTATCCAAGAACAAGGCTCATCTTAAGCAAGGAGAAATCCCTGAATATAATACTGAAGATCCTGACTTTAAAACTCTTTAGAAGGCTGCCATGCTCAGTAGTGAAGCCCGTTTTGATACTTCTACTATTAAAGAAAGAGATAATATCGACTACATGACCTGTCCAGTATTAGGAGATGCAACAGAAACTGGTATTATCAGATTCTATCAATACATTGAAGATGTAAATTCCTTCCGTGAAAGATATAGAGTAGCTAAAAATCCTGATGGTACTTAAGGTAAAATGCCTTTCAACTCATAGGTAAAGTTTGCTTTGACAATAATTGAAGAGTAAACATAAGAAAGTTACTATACAGTTTACATCAAGGGAGCTCCAGAAAAGATTTGGAGTTTCTGTTCATCGATTATTGTTAATGGTAAACCTTCCTAACTTAAT